AGTTACCAACAACCAAGCTAAAGTTTGTTGATAAACTAAAAACTGATTATTAGCACCTTTTCCCCTCTTTCAAACCTCCCCCACCACTGCCACCACAACCTTTTACTGCACAAGCACAAAGTGGCTGCATAGAAATTGGAACCATTTTGTAATTTTCTTTGTTTCATGAGTTGCCCTAGCTAAAGAACTTAACCACCAAATATCTGGCCTACTAGTTGCAAGCCTTTCTATACTTGCTTAGGCTTGTCAGTCTTCAGAGATCAGACTTGTTCTGTTGCCAAGACTATATTTGTAGTCCCAGCGTTGTAGAACTTGCTAGGAATTGCACTCTGCTGGCATGGTCTTTGAGAACCCTATAACACTGTGAAGTATTGGGATAGAATTTTGTGGGGTATCAAAATTAGAACAGAATTAGAAGAAATAAAAATGAGGGAAAAGATATGACCTGCAATTGAAACAACTCAATTTTGACTCATTCAGATTATTATTAATAAGGGGAAGTAGATAATAGATAAAAAGAAAGGATAGATACAGACTATAACAAGTTTATATAGAAATTTAACCACTATGAATTAGTTCCTATGTAGGGAGACTGTGAGAGTTCAGAAAATTGCTTCGTTAATCACACACTTCATAAAGTAGAGAAAAATGACAAAGGGCAATACTAGTTAAAAATACAAATTTGTTTATAGAGGACAGTGGAAAATTATGAATTTATGAATCATAAAAAGAGAGAGCCAGTGGAGAGGAAAAGCAGTTTAATGAAAATTTGACAAGAGACCCAACTCACCAAAGTCATCCCAAGGGATGAAAATGGAAGGAAGACAACAGGGTTTTTTTGGGCAGAATAGTATTTTATTTTTTCAATTACATGTAAAGATAGTTTTCAACATTCATTTTTTGTAAAATTTTTATAATTTATAAAATGTTTTTCTCCCTTTCTCCCATGTCTCCCCACCCACCCGAGACAGGAAGCAATCTGATATAGGTTACACATGTGCAATCATGTAAACATATTTCCACATTAATCATGTTGTGAAAGAAGAAACAGAACAAAAGGGAAAAGCCATGGAAACAATAAAGTGAAAAAAAAAGTGATCTGCATTCAGACTCCATAGTTCTTTGTCTGGATGTGCATAGCATTTTCCATCATGAGTCTTTTGGAATTGTCTTGAATCATTGTATTGCTGAGAAGAGCTCAGTCAATCATAGTTGATCATAGTATAATGTTGCTGTTACTGTGTACAGTGTTCTCCTGGTTCTTCTCATTTCATTCAGCATCGGTACATAAAAGTCTTTCCAGGTTTTTCTGAAATCCGCTTGCTCATTGAAGAAACATTTTCCATTGGAAATGTTTGCAAAGATTTTCACAGCCAACTTTTTACTGTCAAACACAGTCCAAGTGAACTCTACCACATTTGTATTCTAATCATAGTCCCTAATCACAAGACTCTAATCACAGTCTCAGATATGTTTACATAAGAGGTAGAAATGGCACTGAAGAAAACAAAGATGGGAAAAGCATCTAAATTAGATAGCTATATTGGAAGACACTGCCATTGTGAGAGGTCTAGGGATTGATTCACAACATATCTTAAGGAATAAAGAAAGATGCCAAAGGCAAGGGAAAAAATCTCAGGCTTTACTGGTACAGGAAAAAGTTAACTGGACAGAGTAACAACTATCAAGCTTTAGGCCTGATTTCCTAACTATATATACTCTCAATTAGAATCATTGGCACATATTGAGGTCATCCTCATGATGTTAGGGGGGGTATTAGAGGAAACAGGATTTTACAAGTGGTATTCCATAGTTGATTACATCTTC